AAATTCCAGTGAAATATATTTATGTTTGTGGTTGTAATGTGACAAAATATGGAAAAGTTCAAGGGGTATGAATACTTTTGCAAACCACTGTATATATTAATAATTACTTCTCTCCTTCACTTCAGCTTACAATGAAATATTCAACATCTGTTTGATTCATTTTAAAGACATCCATTTCCAGACCCAGTAAGACAATCCCAACAGCCTCTAATAGTAAAATATGTGAAGTTCTTACTAGTTACGGGTCGGTATTTTCAATAAATGATTACTGAGATTCGAGATTAAAGGAAATGCAGCAGGTTATTAGAGGTTAACAACCATCCAAGGTGTCAATGAAAAATAAGAGGAGACAGAAATATTAATCCCAAATAGAAACACATAGTTATGGGTTCAGATTTCAGCAGTTGAGCTGCTCTCAGGAGCAACTTAGCTGATTGTTATTAGCTGACTCGATGCTAACACCGAACGGGACTCGGACCTGTCTGTCCACCGTCAGCAGACACTATATTTATTTATTTTACATGAACATTGTCAAAATTAAGCCTACAAAACATGTTCACACCCCAAAGAACACCGCTAAAGGTCTCAGTCCAACAATAATGGTCTCACCAGCTGCCCTGAAGAGCTTCTTCCACCGTTTCCGCCATTGTTGTGTTGACAGACACGTCACGTCCCGTCAACACGAGCCATAAATACTGGACTGTGGCAGGCCGTTGTAGCATATAATCACAGCGCTTTACCTTTTTTTAAAGATGATTTTTCTGGTCTTAAACTCAGTTGCACAAGGGAGACAACATTTAAAACATGGTCCAAGCCAAGGGACAATTTCTGTCAATAGTTATTGAAGAAAAAAAAGTCATAAAACAAATTATTCTTTGATCACTGCTGCATAGAAACCTTAAAGATAAAACAACAAGAACTTTAACAATAAAAAACATGGGGATAAATAAATAAAAATTAGTGTGCAAAGATGCTAACTTTTTGAAAGGCTGCAAAATTAGTCACACGTAAAGGCTTGAGTACTTAGTTTTGTTCATTTATGGTGAAGCTTGTGGCTCCTCAGCAGGATGTATTGTGTGTCAGACATGACAGCTGTCAGTTAAATGTCTGCCTGGTCAAAATGTTCCTGGGGGTTAAGAGTTATGTAACCCATACCTGCTGTTCTTTTTATTTAGAAATGTATTCATTTCATTTAAAACAATTCTACACACAACAGAAAACAAACACGAACAATCAAAATAAAATCAAATAAAATGAAAGGCAGCAGAAGAATAATAAATCTTATATCTGCCCCTTTTATCCCCAGAATATGTTCAAATAAAAGGAAATGTAAAAAAATTTCAATTATTATTGTTAAACAATGAATTTGAGTTTTAGATTTGACTCTTAGGTTTCATTTGCACCTTGAGTTATGCAATTGTCTGTGGTATACTAAAAACTAAATTTATACCAAAAAATGTTCAAATTCAGGCATGTTAATACTTTGATTCAGCTGCCAAACAAAATTTGTTAGAATTCAAAACATTGTGTCAAAAATTGCTGTTTGATAAACATCCAATTAAATTGTGAGTATCCATCCATCCATTTTCTTCCGCCTATCCGGGGTCGGGTCGTGGGGGCAGCAGCTTCAGAAGGGAGACCCAGACCTCCCTCTCCCCAGCCACTTCTTCCAGCTCCTCCGGGGGAACTCCAAGGCGTTCCCAGGCCAGCCGAGAGACATAGTCCCTCCAGCGTGTCC